CCTTGGAAATCCTGTGGGCACCTTGTGCCAGGGGCACTTCTAGCGACACCCAACAAAGATGCCGCTCCTCCTCCTCCTCCTCCTCCTCCTCCTTCTCCTCCTCCTCCGCTCTCCTCCTCCTCCGCTCTCCTCCTCCTCCTCCTTCTCCTCCTCCTCCTCCTCCTTCTCCTCCTCCTTCCTCCTCTTTCTCCCCACCCTCCTTCCTCCTCCTCCTCCTGTTCCTCCTCCTCCTCCCTCCTGCTCTTCCCTCCTCCTCCTCCTACCTCCTCCTCCTCCTCCTCCTCTCCTGCTCCTCCTCCTCCTCCTCCTCCTCCTCCTACTTCCTCCTTCACCTCCTCCCTCATCCTCCTCATCTCTCCTTCTCCCCCATCCTTCTCCTCCTCCTCCTCCTCCTCCTCCTCCTGCTCCTCCTCCTTGAAGATTTTCAAAATGGCTCAAGAGATGCCGAGACTCGAGATGCAGGCGCGCTTGGCAGGGCGCCGGCGGGCCCGAAAAGTACGTCGAGGGGGCAGCACACGGCACATCGATCTGGGCACCGCGATGCCAAGGGAGCACAGCGCCCAAGACCGTGCAGGCGGAGCACCCCGGCGCGGCAGGGTGGCTACATAAGCTCGCGGGCCCCAGACCAAGACGAAGCCAGGACGACGACAAATTCGGGTGAGGATGGATCGAGAATCTCTGTGATGCAGCGGATCTGGAAGATATCTCGGGCGCCGCGGCCTTCTCGGAGCGTCCCGGAACGCTCTGAGTGTTCCGGAACGCTCTGGAACGGATATATCTTCGTCCTGGCCCCGTCCGAGCTGCACAAGCTCGCGGGCCCCAGACGTCACAGATCTGAGGGCACAGCGGCTCAGGCGCTGCACGCGCGACCCAGCGGCTGCGGGCTCTCATAGCCGTCGAACGTCGACATGGATGTGATGCCAGATTGCTCCACAACCTTAGCAGCTTTGGCGGCCGGATCCCACATGAAACCTTGGTCCATTTTCTTGATCCCGTGCTCTATCACGTAGGAGCACCAATATACCTTACCCTTGCCCGGCGTAACTCTCATCATGCTTTGCCCAACGGTGTCGTTATGTCCGTCCTTTATGGTCAGCTTCAAGTACCCATGTGTGGAACCGATGTCGCACTGCCTGCCTGGACGGATCCTGCGTTGCCACACAGCAGAGTGGCCCAGGATGTCAAGAAACTCGACATACACCTTGTGGCAAGTGTCGTTTTTAACGTGGCACTGCCCCATGTGTTCGCTCGCGCTAAATAAGGCTGAAGGGCTGATGATCGCCGACCGCGTGGGCTTGACCTTGAATCAAAACGCTGCGAGATAGGCTGCATTCAGCCTTTTCTAGAACAAGATCTACGCGGTGTGTTGCCTTGTGCTGAGTAGGAGTGGCATCAGCCCCCTTGGAGCTCTCAGTATAGAGCAATGTGGATGTTCTTGGAGGCCCCACCCCCCCGACTCAATGACTGGACTCATCGCCCCCAGGCGCTTCCGGGCTGAGCTGCGTACATTTTCTAGAAGCTTCGGGGGCTTGCTTGGGAACTCGAACCTCCAACACCCACTGCAAGATGGCCGCGGCCGAAGAGACCAAGCGCCAAAGGACGACCCATGAACCCCCCCGGGTCGCCCCAATACGGCCCCGAGGCCCTGTAGATGGCACCCATTTGCTTTCAAGAGGGGGCACCCCAAGGCGGCCCCCGAGACAGCCATCAGGCCCCTCAAAGGTGCCAGCAGGCCCCTAGGATACCTCGAGGAGGCTGCCAGAGGCCCCCAAAGACGCTCCAAAAGAAGCCCTCAAGGCCTTCACTGGGGTCCCCAAGAGACCCCACTAAGTCTCCCATATGCCCCTGGCCCGCAGCTCAGGCACGGTGGCAGGATGGGCCGAAAACAACTGGACACTCTGGAGCAAGATGCTGAAACTATCGTTGCAACAGGTAAGGCAACGGCGACAGCTCCCCATGCAGCACACACACACACACGATGCCAAACCTTTTCGAAAGAAATCTAGAGGCACCTTGTTCGTCGGAACGGAGCTTCATGAGGCGCTCCAGGGTTCTCTCGGCCCATCGGGGGATGTCAAGGAAGTTCCGAGGGGCACCTGCTGGCAAGCCAATTTCGAGTTTGGTGTGCTCGCTGTCCTTCGGACGTCGTGCTCTCTGTCCAGTGACATTGGCCTCGGGACGCTCCTCTCGCCTCGGGCAGTCCCGTCGACGGCCCTCTGGGGCCCGAGAGCGGCCCGAAGGAGGCCGAGACGGGGAGAAGCCGCTGGCGGTTCCGTCGCAAGGGCGCACGAGGCCTGGATCGCATTGAGGCTTGCAAGGAAGCGCGCGAGTGCCATGTCATACCGCCGGCGCCCGGAGCTGGCGCTCTCTTGTATCGCTCGCGCCCACGAGAGAACGAACATGATTCACCCATTATGTTCCTCGTCCTCGTCTTTCCTTCCGCGCCTCTTAAGCCTATACTCGGCCCGCCTCTTCCACTCGGTCCTCCACTCTCTTCTCCTCTGCTCCTATATTCTCCCCTCTCCTGTGTCCTCTCCTCCTTTCATCTGACGACTACCTAGGAGCGCTGAGGCTGAAATTACCGTACATGCCCGAAGATGGGCAAGGAAATGCCCTAAGATCCGACGGCACGGAATAGGCAAAATCACGACTGGATCCCTGGACCCCATTGCAGCGGCGTTCTTCGAGCCAGATCGATATGTGAGGGTCCTGGGCCCGAGTCCTAACGAAAACACCCACCTCCAAAAACTTGAATCGCCAGGATCTCAGGGCACATGGCGGACGGGAACTTTGAACATTGTTGAACCGAGCCCGATCTCCACTAGCGTGGCCTGGGCCCCACTGGCCGAAGTACGCACCAGATTGATTACATGGGGATCGTGGGCCGCTCCCTTCAAGTTACGAGAGGCATATCCCCAACTGGGGTGGTGCGATGGCGGGGATCGGGACGGGCATGCGGATAGAGATCGGCTAAACCATCCTGTCAGACCTAGGGCAGAAGAGCACCCTTCAAGAACATGAGGCCCTCCACTGGCCACGACGAACAGCAGTCGAGGGCACCCTCCCAGGGATTGCACAAGAGCGTCCAACAGACAAGAAGAACATTAGTACCTGGGCGCTGCGCTGGCACGGGTAGAGAGCAGAAGCCTCGTTCGTCAAAACTGTGGGATGTCCAAGATGCGAAAGCGTGGCCAACAACAGAGACGATTGCGAGCGGTCGAAGGTCGAAGCGCCGCCGAGGTGTTCCCGGCGGCTCGCCGGCACAAGCAACAGGCCCATAGCCCATACGTGCTGGAACGTGCCAAGGCTGGGTGGGCGGGATCATCGATTCAGGCGTTAGCCTCATGGATATCTTCTGTCTCCGAATATGTCGGCACCGTCGGGGCAGGGCAGCTGAGGTAGGTGATGCAGAAGCGACGCGCTGCTGCTGATCCGACATCTTCTTAATATGGCGCAGGACGCGGCCGCCCTTGGCGCATTTCTTGACGCTGGCCTTCGCCACCCAGCGGCCGCGCTCACACACCTCCGCCAAAAGCGGTGGCGGCCGAGCACGTCCTCGCTCGGGCCGCCGTGGCGGAGCATGTGCGGCGCCAGGTGGACCGCCAGGCCGGCGTCGGCCGCCGCGCCCCCGAAGAGGCGTTCGAACTTCGCGAGCGTCAGGCTCGGGAAGAGCTTGGAGGAGCGTGCGGCCCCTGCAGCGGCCAGCAGCGACTCCATCAGCTTGCGGAGGTACGCGCGGCCCGCCGCCGCGGAGACGGGGTCGTGGATCCGCGCGGTGTCGTCGTGCTCGCCCGTCTTCGCGGGCGGCGTCGCCTGTCCCTCCTCGTCGGGAGACCGAGGCGCAGCTCGAGCCACAATGGCCGCCAGCGGGCCCCGAGAGGACGCGTCGGCGACGTCGGCGCGCCTGATGTTGCACGCCTCCGAGGGCCAGAAGTACCCGTCCTGCATCAGCACCGCCGCTCGGACAGTAATTAGACAGCCCGTCGTCGCCCTGCTTCGCCAGCTGCTCGGCGGCGAGGGCGAGGGCGATCCACGGGCAAGGGTCGCGTGCCACCTCGGGCTCAGGCGCCGGCCCTGGAAGGCGCGCTTGGCGCGAGGCAAGACGCCCTTTGCCGCCGAAGCTGAGGTTGAGGCTGAACGCGACCGCCGCCAGCATCATGCGGCCAGAGCTGACGGCCTCGCCGTCGAAGCTGAGCTCTGTGATGACCGCCTCCAGGATCTTGTCGAGCTTCGCGAGATCGGTGGGCGGCGCCCGGCCGTGAAAGCGGACTTCGCGTCGATGCCAGTTCTCGTAGACGGTGGCTGTCTTTGCCGTGGCGCTCTTGGTCTTCAGGCGGTGCTGGCGCGAGGCTGACGCCCTGGCTGGGGTCGCCTGCGCCGCGGCCCGCCGCTAGCCAGCGCGGGCTGCGCGGGCGGCCGCCTACGGGGCTCGCTTGGCCGGCGGCCGAGCCTTGGCCCGACGCGGGCGCCCGCGGCGCGACCCAGCGGTGGTCGCGGCCTCCTCCCCAGGCGCGGGCTCCCAAGGGTCACTCGCGGATGCCGTCGGCGGGGGGCGGGTCGAGCCAGGGTCCGAAAGGCCAGCATCGATCCCAGCGGCCCGCAGTAGCGCGGCGTGCCACTGGCCGCGCCCTACTGCATAGCCGCCCTCGGATGCGCCGAGCCGCGAGCAGCGGGGCGCCGCGCTGGCGGCGATGCCGGCCCAGGCACGACACAGGCCTGGAGGGCAGGCGCCCGCAAAGGTTGTGCGCCGAGCTGCTCGAGCCGGCCGAGCCGTGGCAGGTGGGACCGCGGCGGTTGAGGTCTGGGGGCTCGACTGAGGTGCCACATAGACCTTCCTCTCAAGATGTCGTGATGGTGGCCTCCCTGGCAACAACGACGCAACTGGCTGAGACCAGGGAGCGTACCAAAGAGGCCAGTGGGCTTCCGATAGTGAGCACTGAACTCGCACATCGAAATCAACGAAGACAGACTGAGGCAACTTGAAGAGCGGATGGATGAGATGGTGGTCCCACAAGGCTGACCGCAGCGGGTTCTCGATCGTCCAATAGATGCCGAGCCGCTGGCACAAATTGACCAGCCTTCGGACAACGCGGACGCCCCGCGCGGCGCGCAGAGCATCGGCTGGAGAGAGGGGTCCGTGACGTGCCGTGCTTCTGGTCGCACACGGCGCCCCAAGATGCACCCGCCAAGCTGTCCCATCACGCAGCTGGCCTTCCAGAATCCGAAGCGTCTTCCAGGAGTGCAAGTCGCAGTAGGGGGCCCGCTGGTGGTCCATCGGGGGCATCACCCGGGGACCAGACCCAACGAGGGCCGACGAGAGCCTGCTGGTGCCCGAGTAGACCTCCAAGAACGCCCGAGCTCGTTGCGCTGTGCGAGGTGCGTGCGTAGGAGGAGGGCGCTCTGACAAGCGCCGGCAGGCGCCCGTCGCCGGCTCGGAGGGCGGCAAGGCGTGCCGCCGGGGCGGCAGCCGCGGACGCCTAAAATATCGAGGAGACGTTGTAGTCCCGTCGCCTGGCGCGGCGGGGCGGGCGGCGCTGGGCGAGGGCCGCGGACGGGCGACGGGCGACGCGGGAGGCCGCGGTCGCCTGCGGGCCCAGAAGCCCAAGCGCTGCGGCAGCCCGCTCTCGGCGCGCCCGCGGAACAGCAGCGGGCGCAGCAGCAGGACCTGGCGGGGCGCAGGCGCGGGCCAGCCCGCCCCCGCGCGCACGCCTCCTGAGGCGACTTGGGGGGGATCGATCCCACTCAGCCGAGTCGAGCGCGAGTCGGCAGGCTCGGGCGGCCCCCGGGACGGTCTCTCCCGGGCCGGCCTCTCCACGATCAGCTGCTCGGTAGCCGTCGCCCGTGCAATTGCGCGCGCTCTCGGTGCACCTCAGGTGCCAGGCGATCGCGGCGCCGATCGCGATGGCCGCCGCCTGACGCACCAGGGGCCGCAGCCAGAAGTCCGAGGCGCGGCCCTTCATGGTGGCCAGGAGCGCGCTCGGGTTGTCGGTGGGCCCCAGCAGCCGCGCGCCGCCCGCGGCGGGGCAGCGGGCGGCCCTTCAGGTGGATGGCGATGTGGTAGGCCCAGCCGCCCTTCACGATGTTGAGCCAGCGGTCGGGGTCAGCCCAGGCGTCGTCCAGCGCGTGGAATGCGTCCGAGGCCTCGACCACGCGGAAGGGCGCCCGGCGCCGGCGGGGCAGGGAAGGGGGCCCCGCGCGAGGCGGGCCTGCCTGCCCCGCGACGCCGGCGATGTCCAGGCC